GCAGGAGTACAGTCATCCCGGAAAACACAGGCACTGTTCCAGAATGGAAATGGAGCTGCACTTGCATTCCACAAAAAAAAAAAAAAAAAGACTGCTAGCAAGCAGGTAGGTAGGTTTCCTTTTACTGCAGAGGATACATTGCATGCCTACCTGCTCCCAGATTTTAAAAATGGTGCTTTAGTTCCACTTTAAATTTTGATCCCAATGGAAGACAAAACAGTTTTTGTGGCACAATGCATCCAACCAATGGAAGTGTTTCTCATTGAGAGATCACATGCCTAGTTGGGTGTCATGGCTAACACAAATTGTTGTATGTTACATCAGAATACATGCGGCTCGTTTTGTGAATAGCACCAAATAAATTAAAGAGTAACTCCACTTTTGTTGAACAAAAAAACCCCCAAAACAATCTTCACTGGGTGACTAATGTACATTCTAAGGATTTGAACAAATTTTGCTGCAGATACCTACCTGTTCCTGCTCTTTGTTTGATTATGTCAACTTGCAAAATGAATCTGGATGGGAGTGATTTTTTCATTAATAACCAGCAGATACACTTGCAGTGTTCCAATGAGGAATTAGCAGGGTCGGCATCCCTTTAGAAGTAATTAAGCCTTAGGGAATATCCCACCAAAAATGAAACGGTTGTTGCAGGATGCCCAAAATCTGACTTGTACATTAGTGCACCCTTCTGGGAAAATCAGTAAGTCAATCGCACAAGCGCAAAATGACATTTCTTAGGAAGTTCTGTACACCGTGTAAAGAGTTGCCATATTGCACTGAATTTTCAAAAATCACAAACTTGTGGATTGAAAAGGAAAAGTAATTATTATAGACCAGGCGGAAAGTGTTTAACAGAGTGACAACCGTGCAGGAGAGCTGCTATCCAGGGTGGATGTCATCGGACCAGACGCAGTGGTTGAAAAATCAGTGTACTGAGCTGCTCCTGATACCATGTGATTGCCGTGAGCAGTCACAGCAGATCACATGGCAATTGTACACAATGAATGGCTTCAATTTATAGCCACTCATTGTGTTGATCTCGGTGATTTGTCAGTGATCACCTGGCACAGACAGGGCCAATCACAGTGCATCTGTACCTTGTGATAGCTGTTGCCAATCACAGCTCACAATAGTACACACTGGATGAACAGATGACATTCATAAAAAATGGTTGCTTAGAAAAGTGATTATTCACTGCTATAAGCAAACAGTGTGTAAAAAAAAAAAAAAAAAAAATTCTGAAAACCCAGTCAGTAGTACCACATCACTATGGTAACACTGTACTGCTCTGGTCACAGTATGTAAAGATGATGTTAGCACTGAAAAAATAATTTTTTTTTTACATAGTGTCACCATTCAGTGTCCCTGATCACTGCCACACCAGTTGTATGAGGACGCTGTACTGCACTGGCCAACACTATGTGAAAAAATTGAGATCTAATCTTTAAAATTTCTTTATTTTCCAAAAAAATTGGACAAAAAATTACAACTTCAAAAAAAAAAAAAAACCCTCAATGCCTCGTACTACATACCTTGGATGGTCTACTATCCAAAAAAGCATTATTTTGAAATGAGATTGGCCATCAGTACGTCAGGATGGATCAATTTTCAAATATACAGTATATACACACCATAGTTTTTGGACTTTCACACAGACTAAATAATATACATATTAGGAAAAACATATAACAGAAATGTGGCAGTATACATTTTGGCCTACATTTATGAAGATTATTTATTTGCAAAATTTTATAACAAAAACAAAGAAAAACGCACTTTTCAAACATGTCAGTCTTGTTTAATTTATTTAGCAAAAAAAAATAAAAAACCTGGCGGTGATTAAATACCACCAGAATAATGTGCTCTTTGTGAAGAAAATTTTTTTTACATGGGTACAGTGTTGCAGGACCTTGTAGTTGTCATTCAAAGTGTGATAGCACTGAAAGCGGAAAATTGGCCTGGACAGGAAGGGGGTGAAAGTGCCCGGTACTAAAATGGTTAACAACAATAAATTAAAATATGGCTTGTGCAGCAATTGTATATGGAGGTTGCCTGTGGTTTTTTTTCTTTGTATCCCGAACAAACCTTCTGGCAATTATGGCTGCAATCTTTCTTGGTCTACCTGACCTTGGCTTGGTATCAAGGGATCCCTGAACTTTCCACTTCTTAATAGGCGATATAACAGAACTGATTGGCATATTCAAGGCTTTGAACATCTTTTTATTTCCTTTTCCATCTTTATAAAGTTTCATTACCTTGTTACGCAGGACTTTTGACAGTTTTTTTCTGATCCCCATGGCTCAGTATCTAGCCTGCTCAGTGCATCCATGTAAGATCTAACACACTCATTGACTATTTATACACTGACACTAATTGCAATTTAAAAAGCCACAGATGTGGGACATTAACCTCCAATTGGCATTTTAACCCGTGTGTCTCCTTGTGTGTCTGTACCAAGGCCAAACATTCCAGGAGATGGAAACTTTTGATCATGGCCATTTGGGTGATTTCTGTTATTATGATTTAAAAAGGAGCCAAACAACTACTTGATAATAAATGGCTTCATATGATCATCATCCTTCAATAAAAGCATTTTGTGGTATGATCAGTCATGTTTTCAATATTAATGCCAAAATTTCACAATTTCTGCCAGGGTATGCAAAGTCTTGAGCACAACTATATATATACAGTCAGGTCCATAAATATTGGGACATCGACACAATTCTATCATTTTTGGCTCTATACACCACCACAATGGATTTGAAATGAAACGAACAAGATGTGCTTTAACTGCAGACTGTCAGCTTTAATTTGAGGGTATTTACATCCAAATCAGGTGAACGGTGTAGGAATTACAACAGTTTGCATATGTGCCTCCCACTTGTTAAGGGACCAAAAGTAATGGGACAATTGGCTTCTCAGCTGTTCTATGGCCAGGTGTGTGTTATTCACTCATTATCCCAACTACAATGAGCAGATAAAGGGTCCAGAGTTCATTTCAAGTGTGCTATTTGCATTTGGAATCTGATGCTGTCAACTCTCAAGATGAGATCCAAACAGCTGTCACTATCAGTGAAGCAAGCCATCATTAGGCTGAAAAAACAAAACAAACCCATCAGAGAGATAGAAAAAACATTAGGCGTGGCCAAAACAACTGTTTGGAACATCCTTAAAAAGAAGGAATGCACCGGTGAGCTCAGCAACACCAAAAGACCCGGAAGACCACGGAAAACAACTGTGGTGGATGACCGAAGAATTCTTTCCCTGGTGAAGAAAACACCCTTCACAACAGTTGGCCAGATCAAGAACACTCTCCAGGAGGTAGGTGTATGTGTGTCAAAGTCAACAATCAAGAGAAGACTTCACCAGAGTGAATACAGAGGGTTCACCACAAGATGTAAACCATTGGTGAGCCTCAAAAACAGGAAGGCCAGATTAGAGTTTGCCAAACGACATCTAAAAAAGACTTCACAGTTCTGGAACAACATCCTATGGACAGATGAGACCAAGATCAACTTGTACCAGAGTGATGGGAAGAGAAGAGTATGGAGAAGGAAAGGAACTGCTCATGATCCTAAGCATACCACCTCATCAGTGAAGCATGGTGGTGGTAGTGTCATGGCGTGGGCATGTATGGCTGCCAATGGAACTGGTTTTCTTGTATTTATTGATGATGTGACTGCTGACAAAAGCAGCAGGATGAATTCTGAAGTGTTTCGGGAATATTATCTGCTCATATTCAGCCAAATGCTTCAGAACTCATTGGACGCCGCTTCACAGTGCAGATGGACAATGACCCAAAGCATACTGCAAAAGCAACCAAAGAGTTTTTTAAGGGAAAGAAGTGGAATGTTATGCAATGGCCAAGTCAATCACCTGACCTGAATCCGATTGAGCATGCATTTCACTTGCTGAAGACAAAATTGAAGGGAAAATGCCCCAAGAACAAGCAGGAACTGAAGACAGTTGCAGTAGAGGCCTGGCAGAGCATCACCAGGGATGAAACCCAGCATCTGGTGATGTCTATGCGTTCCAGACTTCAGGCTGTAATTGACTGCAAAGGATTTGCAACCAAGTATTAAAAAGTGAAAGTTTGATTTAGGATTATTATTCTGTCCCATTACTTTTGGTCCCTTAACAAGTGGGAGGCACATATGCAAACTGTTGTAATTCCTACACCGTTCACCTGATTTGGATGTAAATACTCTCAAATTAAAGCTGACAGTCTGCAGTTAAAGCACATCTTGTTCGTTTCATTTCAAATCCATTGTGGTGGTGTATAGAGCCAAAAATGTTAGAATTGTGTCCATGTCCCAATATTTATGGACCTGACTGTATATATGTATATATATATATATATATATATATATATATATATATATATATATTTTACTTGCTTTAATTTTTCCCCCCGCAAAAGTGGAGTTAACCTTTAACATCTGTTATTTCAGTACACATTTCAAATGAAACAGAAATACACTGAGGAGTACAGTGAAAAAAGTAACTTTATGTTCTTTTCAGTGCTGTAACAATAAACATAAAAGCAGGACAGGCTAAGGATTCACAGCCCCACGGCACACCGGATTAAAAGTGTCCCAACGGCTAGATCACACGCAACAAACTAGCAAAATATCATGGAGGTAATCTGTCCCCAGCCTGCATGCTTGGCTCTAAACAGTTCAGATGCTCATTAACAATTCCCAGGATGGTAATCTTAACCCACATAAATTTTAAAAATCACAATCTCCTGGGTAAAAAAATAAGCAAATATTTTACTACCTGCCATAAATCATGGTGTTTGGGAATACATGGCATTTTCCACTTGGAGTTTGTCCTGCATTGCCCACATCACCAGAGTTGTGTTCCCCTTTCAGGTTACTAGTATCTCCCCCCCAGAGCTTGTACAAGAGATCTTGCTAATTCTATTGCACCATATTGGACTGCTGCTTTGGAGATGACATTCTCTCTTTCCCCCCCCAACTCCAAGACTGGACATTTTATGACGCTGTGCTCTGATTGCCCGTTTCTGTCTTGGCTTCTTCGTATACAGGTTCTGTTTCTGCGCCATCAGTGTCCAGACCATCTTTGGCATTTGGAACCCAGAGTCCTGAGTCAACACACTGCTTCATGTAAAAGCTGGCTTCCTGCAGGGTGTGAAGAGAAACGTGTCTAAGTATAACATCATGTCTTGGTCAAGGTTACAGTGCTCCTGTATTAAAGTATAGGTCTGTATGCTGCAGAGCTCCTATATTACAGCTGAGCTCTGGGCAGATATAAAAAAGACACAAATACATATATACAGCGCTGTGTTTATTTAGGATTATATTCAATTGTCCAATTACTTTTGGTCCTGGACGGGACCTCTGGCCAATCAGTGATCACATGCAAAGTAGTAAGCAAGATGTCACTTGTGACATCATTGCTTACTACGTGTGAAATCTGTGAATGATCACAGAGGTCACATGGTACAAGGCTATTCACAACAGCCTTGCACCATGTGACAAGCTGTGACCAATCACAGCTCACTCATTAGTTCTTAATGGCTGCAAGAATGCAGACAAAGAGAAAGAGAAATGATTGCTTTTACATCCTATATGGGTGTAAAAGCAATCACTGTAAAGAAAAAAAAAAAATCTTCATCACCCCCTACAAGTAGTACAGTGTCACCATGGTGACACTGTACTGCTAGGGTGACAGTATGTAAAAAAAAAATGTAAAACAAATGTTTAAAAATTATAATTTTTGGTTATAAATTAATTTGGCTTTTTTTTTTTACTAAAAAGAGAATGGAATACATTTTGGCCAAGATTTATGAGGAAATATTATTAGCAAAATTTTATAAGAAAAACACTTTTTTTTCTAAATTTTTGGACTTTCATTTACATAGCAAAAAAATAAAAATCCCAGCGGTGAATAAATACCACCAAAATAAAGCTTTATCTTTCTCAAAAAAAAATGGTAAAAAATTCACATGGGTACAGTGTTGCATGACCGCACAATTGTCATTCAAAGTGTGATAGCGCTGAAAGCTGAAAAAAAACAAAAAAAAGGAGCATTCAAGTCAAACAGCAACTTTTAAATTTACAGGTATAAAAACAGGATGCTAACATGGCTGTACTACACTCAGCAGTAAGTGGCAAGTGTGTCCTATTACTGACAGGCCGTACACGTCGCGGGCCAGTCCAGAGACCTTTAAGCAAGACAGCAGACAAAAGTGTTAGTGCGTGCATGGAACAGCGGGTGGTGATGAAGTTTCTTGTGAACGAAGGAATAAAACCCACAGATATCTACAGAAAACTTCAAGCACAGTACGGTGCTTGATGAGACACTCAGCCACAATAAAACATTGGAATGGTTTCAACTTTTCAAAGATGGCCGCACTTCCGTCAGTGACGATCCCAGCCATGGTGGTTCTCAGCCCACAGCAGTAATTTCTGTGAACATTCAGACCGTGGAACACCTGATCCTGGATAAATCGATGCATAACCTGACGTGAAATTGCACAAGAGACAGATTTCACCACTGATGACAAAGTGAAGCAGGCTGTCCTAGGATGGTTCAGGCGTACTGACAAATCTTTCTGCGCCAAACTTTCCAGGCATTAGTTAAACGCTGGGATAAGTGTATAAATGTAGCAGGGGAGTATGTTGAAAAATAAATGCAGTTTACACTCCTTGAAATTTGTTCTTTTATTAACCTCCCTAGCGGTTTGATTATGTTCATATTTCTGTGCTCAAAGTGGTACATTTTTTTGCATGGAAATATGTATTTTTTTTTTATTGCAGGTCTGTAATTTTTAAGAATAACTCCCTGAAATTTGTGTGAACAAGAGTTTAGTAAACATCCCGGGTATGTTAAAATTTGAAACACAAAATCATAAAATAATAATTTAATAAATAATCATAAAAATAATATAATAAATTTAATTCAATAATGTAATCAAACCAAAAACACTGACATTTGAAATAGAGCGCCAAGTTCGCACATCACTGAGCAAAGTCGCAAAATCGTTTTCAGTGTCTGATGACGAATTTCCCCACGAATCATTATCACTCAATTCTGCAAGTGGTTCTGATTTACTATCGCTGTTCTCTAGCCGGTCTAAAACCGCTTTTGACCTAAAGGGACGCTTTTTGGACGCCATGGACGTTTCTCAGTTTCCAGGCAGAAAGAACAGTAAAAATGCAGGCAGAGGAGAGGACAAAGCACTCGGGACAAAATGTATGTGAAATGGTTTGATACAGGAATGTTTTACGATGTGATTTTAGTTTATTTAGTGAATGTCGCTTTTTGTCATTTTCAGATTTCCCGCCATTCCGTCCCCCGTATGTCCTGACATCGCAGGGGACGGAACCCAGAGGACAGATGCCAGCATCCGCCGGAGGACATTACAGGGGACACTGCAGGAGGGACATCGCAGGAGCGCAGGACAAGGTAAGTGATGAAACAGATACCGGAGCAGCGCCGCATGGTAAGCCCGAGTGTAGCTCGGGGTTACCGCTTGTGGTGCTAAAACTTTACCCCGAGCTACACTCGGGAATACCGCCAGGGAGGTTAAATAACCTCAAAAGTCCCGGTTTGACTTGAATGCCCCTTGTATAACCCTGTGTGGTTATCACTTCCCCCCAACTCACCTTGGGGTCCATTTTACTGATTGCCTCTTTCAACATCTCTATGTCTTTTGTATCAAAACATTTCTGTAACTCCTGTTGGAAATAAAATACAAAGAGAAGTTGGAATAATGGTTTTTATCAAACGTATTAATACTGAAATCAAATGATGCCAACGTGGCACATTACCAACTCTTTCAATCACTAATTTTCAGTTATTTTACCCCTTCTGTCAGTGTAACGCATGCTGTCAGTTTTTCTTACCATTAGCTTACACAGACTGAAGTTTTGGAGACGCTTCCTTTCGCAGAGCTGCAAAGACTGTCAGTTGCCAGTGGCTGTCAAGTCACTTTTGTTTATTCCTATGACAGAGGTTACAGCAGGGCAAATTTTGGGATATGTGGACATGCACTGTGCCTACCAGTTCATCACAAAGGTGAACGGAAGGGTGTGCTGACAGCTGCTGCTTAGCAGGCATGAAGATCCTGGACATTCCTATCTGTTTGAGTGCACCCTTATCATGGAAACATGCTGTAATCAGAAAGCCTAGTTTAAATCACAGAAATTATGATTTTTGTTTTACCTGCAAAATCCTTTTTTTTGGGGAGGGTAAAATTACAGGACATAAAAACAGTACTTCACATTCATGACTACTACGACCAAAATAATAATGAAAAAAAAACCAAAAAAAAAAAAAAAAAAAACAAGGCTAAGCGACTCAACTATGCATGAAAACATAGGAACTGGGGTGCAAAAAAATGGCAGGAGGTGCTCTGGACTGAGGAGTCAAAATCTGAAATATTTGGCTTTAGCGGGAGGCAGTTTGTTCATGAATGGCAAGAGAGCACTACAATAAATGAGTGTCTGCAGGGAACAGCAAAAGCATGGCGAAGATTCTCTCCAAGTTTGGGGCTGCATTTCTGCAAATGGAGTTGGAGTTTTGGTCAGGATCAGTGGTGTCCTCAATGCTGAGAGATACAAGCAGATACTTATCCACCATGCCATACCATCTGGGAGGCATGTGATTGACCCCAAATTTGTTTGGCAGCACGACAATGACCCCAAACATACAGCCAATGTCATTAAGAACCATCTTCAGTGTAAAGAAGAACAAAAAGAGTCCTGGAAGTGATGGTTTGACCCCTACAGAGCCCTGATCTCACCATCATGGAGTCTGTCTGGGATTACATGATGAGACAACAGGATTTGAGGCAGCCTACATTCACAGAAGAAGATCTGTGGTTAGTTCCCAAAGAACAACCTACCTGCCGAGTTCCTTCAAAAACGGTGTGCAAGTGTACCTAAGAGAATTGATGCTGTTTTGAAGGCAAAAGGGTGTTCACACCAAATATTGGTTTCATTTAGATGTCTCTTCTGTTAATTTACTTTCCATTTTGTTAATTGATAAAATTAGATGATTAACACTTCTATTTTCGAAAGGATTCTTTCCTTTACAGCATTTTTTTCACACCTGCCTAAGACTTTTGCACAGTACTGTGTCTCTGTGAACACCTCAGGGTGAAGGGGCCGTTTCCCCGTATTCCGCTGCTGACCGAGTCCACCTGCCAATATTTCATACCAAGAACGTGTGCATGGTGGAGGTGCTGGAACGTGAAGCTTTGCCCAAGACAAAATATCCAAAAATCCCAATATGTGTATATTAATTAGTTTGTGCAAATACTGTAAACGGTCATTGCACTAATGGCTGGGAATGGGTTAACATCTAGGGGCAATCAAAGGGTTCATTGTGTGCCTAACAATGTGTAATATGTGCTGCCTTTACTTTATTCCTTGTACACAGAGTTCTGGGGTGTGTGTGATTGGACACAGCCAATAAGCTGACTTTCAGGCAAAATCATTGGCTGAAATCAGCTGCCAAACGCATGCGGTGTCCAGTCACAGCATGGGACTACAAACCTGGAAGAATGTCGATCACTCACATACATACACATTTTTTAATATATATATATATATATATATATATATATATATATATATATATTTATTACAAATACAGAGATATATATATATATATATATATATATATATATATATATATATATATATATATATATATATATATACACACACATATATACACACATACACACGACTGTGCCTGCACTTACTGCAGTATATGTACAGCGTTGGGGCAGCAAGTGGTTAAACACCCAGTTTACCTGCCATTTAAAAACAGTGCTTTTCCATTTTCACTCTTTATAAATATACAGTATCTTTTCTTGTAGAGTTTTCTTAGGAGAAGGTATCATGGCTGACTGCAAGCATTTTAACGTTTTGCTATGTGAAAGGGAACGTTTAACAAATATAATGAGGTGTTATTCCAATTTGGCTGTAAAAGTGGAAACACACTTTAAAAGAATTAAACCCATTGACTTAAGTTTCCAAAAACAGTTACATTCCCTGTATGTCCTGGTAATGCCAACTGTCAAATCTGCCTGTGCTCTCAACCAAACTGTCAAACCATCAAATGTCTGGTGTCATAACTGATCACATGTGCAGCATCATGGCAGTTGCAGACCAATCAAAAGCCAAGATTGCAGCTTCCTTGGCCAAGAATGATAGGAGAGTTAAGTTCGGCTTTAAAAATATTCCCCCCAGTCCCCTCAGTGGAAGCCACATAGAACTAAATGGAGTGAGTGGCACACATGCACAGAAGGAGCTGGACACGGCTAGAACTTTTTTATATGCAGGCTGTGTGTGTTGCCAGGTCACACAAAGGAACTCAAGAATGAGACCAAAGGTAATTATTTAGGTATGTGGATTCCACTGAAGAGGCATTAAAAGACAAACTTCACAAAAAAAAAATCGTAAAGGCGTCCTTTAAGCATTTCGTCCCTTCAGACAGCAGCAGAGACCACCAACTGACTGCTTTCGGAAGGAAGATCAGCCACACATTTTCTCATGTTGAAAAGCAACCATTTCCCTTGAGGTAGGTCAGCTGATGGAGGTTTTTGCTTACTCTACACAACCCTCCCCCTAGTAATTATCAAAAGATTCCTAAGAAAAAAAAAAGAAGGAAGAGAATGGAGGGGTGATCACACCTATAGACTACCACCACCTACTATTCATGGCTAACTTCCATATTCTACAACCTTGTGCCCTAGCACAGCCACAACTAGAAGCAAACAGCTTGGAGGCACACGAGGCTTCATGTGGCCAAGTCATGCCACAGACAGAATAGGGTACAAAACAGAGAAAGTGTTCCCAGAAATGTACGAGAATTTGCAGTGTATCTTTAACAGTTGCTTCCCTCTAATTTTCCTTCTCTGCATTTCCAATGCTTCCATGAAACTTCTTAGGAGATGACCAGTGCCAGTCACAACAAAACTCCCAAAACCCCTCCCGTCCATTCAACTGCTTGTTCTGGTACATCCCCTTATTTGTCGCATCAAAATCAATCTATAGAATATGGTCATTCAATCCGTACATTGATCTTATGTGAAAAGATGAAAGCTTTGGAAATTATTGGCTGGGGATTGAAAACTGCAACTTACAGAAGGAAGTGATTCATAGACATCCACAGGATCCAGCCCTCCTGGGCCTAGCCTCTTCTTCCGTTCCTCTTCTTCATATTCCTTCAAGGCTTTCTCTATCCGCACCTTGGCTCTCTCCCTGACTCTCTCCTTAAAGGATTCCAGCTCATCATTGAATGCGTCCATATATTGCTGATCTGCAGTCTGATAGAGATGAAAAAAAGATTTTTTTTAAAGAACTCTCAAAATCAAGGACAAGTTTGCAATGATTAGCTATACTTTTCTGCATTTTTCTGTTGCCATATTTTAAAAAGGGGACCCCGTCACGGGAAAAAAAAAAATTATTAAAAAAATGCACCTGCTTTCATACTCATCTGTCCCAATTCGTAGAAACTTCATTACACTGCTAAGGAAAGCCGCCTGAAGGATCTTCGCATCTGACACTATAATGTCCTGTAGAGACGTAGGGGTTTGAGGAAGAAATGCAGATCCTTCAGGCAGCTATGCAAGGCAAAGATTTTACAAACAGGCTCTGGGACAGGTAAGTATGAAATGCTTTAACCCCTTCACGCCGGCGCCCCCCTTTTCAGAAGCCGGGAGGCGGGGCAGGGTTTAAGGTCATGTGACCGCCATGAAAGGCTTCCGTGAGTACCGGACATGTGTGCTGGGAGCGCACAGGGCGCGCACGCTCTCAGCACATATGTTTTTTTTTTTAATAGAATGCAAATGTTCAGGGTGCTGGGCGTCTAGGTCCAGACGCCGGGAGGCTGCACATTTGCGTTCGGCCGGTGTGAAGAGGTTAATTTTGCTTTTGTCTCTTATTTCAGCTTTTTTCACCGACAGGTTGCCTTAATCGGTTCTCAGTACAAATATATTTCTATAGTTTTCTCCCATGAAGAATCGCACAATGTTATCTTTGGCTCTTTAACCACTTCAAGTCTGGTCACTTTCACCTCTGAGACTTTATCTTTATCTGAGACAGATAAAAAAAAAAACGAAAAAAAAAAAAAAAACAAAAAACTTTATTTTGGTGGTATTTATTTCCCACTGGGATTTTTAATTTTTTTGCTATATAAATGAAAACATTTTGGAAAAAAATAAATAAAAAAAAAAATAATAAAAAAAAGTGTTTTTCGTATAAAATTTTGCAAATAAATAAAACTTCATAAATCTTGGCCAAAAATGTATTCAGCTAGTTAGTAAAAAAAAAAAATATATATATATCTATGGAGGGTGGTCTGCCGCAGCGAGAAAGCCAAGCAGGAGCGGTGACAGCAGATTCATAGTGCAGCTCTCTACAGGTTATTGGCCCCGACGCTGTGAGATTTCATCGAGCCCTTACTAGACTGTGCCCTGTATGAGGGACCCCATTCCTCTTTGATCACATGCTTTTACTGACACTTGCTTTGAGAGTATGTAGCTGCATTTTGTATTACAATCATGAATTTTTTACTACACTAGGTCTGCACTTTGCCTGCATCTGGATCTCTCTGATCAGTGGCATTCCTCCCAGTGTTTAGTATTACTCTGTAAAGATTTGGGGCTACCCGCTCTACAACCTATCACTTTGATTGTATTTTATGTGGTTTTAAAGTTTACACATCATACTGAACTCATCTGGTACTACGATTTTTCATAGGCTGAGTGTTACTCTGTTAGCTGAGAGCTTTTCCAAGGCACGAGGCATTGGCTTGTCTAAAACATGGCCTTTTCAGGGTACCCGAGAAACAACTACTATCTGTGTGAGTTTCCCTTGGGGTTTTTTGTAATGTGGTCCGGCGTTTAATACTTTTAAGAGTTTGCATAAAGAGGTCTTCTATAGGACATTGGTGTGTGGTCATCCTATTATTTCTCTATGTTTTACTCGGGTACCCATGGCTCAGCACACCTAAAAATCAATGCTCTAACCTTAATCTTGGTGAAGAATTGGCGGAAGCAGGCTCTGGGATCCACCTTCAGGCTCTTAGCCAGTTCTAAAATGAACTGCATGACGATGGTCTGGTGAGCCACTTGTTCCATCAGGGCGTGTTTCTACAGCAAGAAAACATAGTTATTATGCCATGAAGAATCAAATGTAACACATACAGAAGACCTGACAGCATCAACTAAAACACAACTCTGAGTGTATAAGTAAATTTATACAGCGTGTGCAACAAGTGTATATAAAGTTACTCCCCCCAGCCCACCTTAAACACTTACCTATCTCAATCCAGCGCTGTGCCTGTCTGCATAAGCTCTTCTCCCCTCTCTCTTCTCACAGTAGACTTGGCAGCAGCAGGAGGCATTGGCTCTTGCTGCTGTCAGTCAAAGCCTGTGAGGAGGGAGCAGGGGGGGTGGGGCCGAGCCATTCTATGTGTGTCTATGGATGCATACAGCATAGCTTGGGATTGAGCCCGCACGAGCATCAAGCAGCTTGCTATGAGGGCACTCAGAGAAGAAGTGGAGCCAAAAGCGTCGGCAGGGGATGCCAGCAGAAGAGGTTCGGGGCCGCTCTGTACAAAACCATTATACAGAGAAGTTAAGTAGAACATAGATATATGTGAAGATGTTTGTTATAGATATAAAAAAAAAAAAAAAAAAAAAGGATTTACAAATCACTCTAATCATTATAATGTGGCAAAGTAATGTACTGCCACAGAACACAATAACTTTGGGGCCGAAGAGATTTTTGCAGTGTTTTTCAGAAGCATTCACATGGACGCCCTCTACTCTGTTTAAAAGGGAATCCTAGAAAAATCCCTGCTAACTGGAACAGAACAAAAAATGAACATCACATAAGTGACATCTGTGTCAGCCCCACAAGATCCCTATGGGCAGGCAGATATAAGCGCACATACATCTGCTTATATTCAACAACGTCTGGTTTGTGAAGGTGCAGAGAAGAGCAGTTAAGCAATGTTTCCTAGTTCAAACCTGCTGTTTTATTACAAGGAAAAAGAATTAAACTCATGAATAATGAAAAAAAATTCTAAAATTCTTAGACGAGGTCATGGCAATAACCAGCAAAATATTTCCCGACTTCCCACTCACATCACACTTTTTAAAAAGGTAACCACACAGATGGAATTGTCAGTGCCTTAGCAATGCTATTCATTGTATTAGTTACCAGTGAGATGCTCTGTAAACCATGAATTGCTGGTGGGATTTAAAGGACAGATTTAGTAAGCATTGCCGGGCACTGAGCCTGCATTCACACCTGAACAGAAAGTCTATTCCTATTGATTTTGGAGCATTTTACAGCCATTTTTGCATGCAGCTTCAGGTGTTTCCTGGACTGGGCACAAAAGAGAACAGTTCTACAAAAGTGGAGTTTTTATGCACAAAAAGCTGGTTATGCATTTCTAGACACTCATTGAACCATGAAGCATTATGGGCCCAAATATGCCTGAGTATGTGCAAAAAAAAAAAAAAAAAAAAAAAAAAAAAAAAAAAAAAAAAAAAAGGGAAGGGTCATGTACTTTTCTGAGCATAGGACATGTGAATGGGGGCTTAAGATGCAATGTTGGCCATTCAGACATTGATACCTGCACTAAAAGGGTCACTTTAAGGCAGTGGTTCTCAACCTGTGGGTTGCGACCCCTTTGGGGGTCGAACGACCCTTTCACAGGGGTCCCCTAAGACCATCAGAAAACGCATATTTCCGATGTGTAAAGAGCAGCTACTGTGTTAAAAGCAGCTACTGTGTTAAAAGCAGCTACTCTGTTAAAAGCAGCTACTCTGTTAAAAGCAGCTACTCTGTTAAAAGCAGCTACTCTGTTAAAAGCAGCTACTCTGTTAAAAGCAGCTACTCTGTTAAAAGCAGCTACTCTGTTAAAAGCAGCTACTCTGTTAAAAGCAGCTACTCTGTTAAAAGCAGCTACTCTGTTAAAAGCAGCTACTCTGTTAAAAGCAGCTACTCTGTTAAAAGCAGCTACTCTGTTAAAAGCAGCTACTCTGTTAAAAGCAGCTACTCTGTTAAAAGCAGCTACTCTGTTAAAAGCAGCTACTCTGTTAAAAGCAGCTACTCTGTTAAAAGCAGCTACTCTGTTAAAAGCAGCTACTCTGTTAAAAGCAGCTACTCTGTTAAAAGCAGCTACTCTGTTAAAAGCAGCAGTATTGGAGGTAAAACGACACTCATGAATTATAATTACTGGGTAAATAATTTTATGGTTGGGGGTCACCACAACATGAGGAACTGTATTAAAGGGTCACGGTATTAGGAAGGTTGAGAAACACTGCTTTAAGGGAATGAACAGAAATCAGCAACTGCGGATGTTAAAACGATACATCCTTGTTTTAATCCATTGGTTTGTCCAACCACAAAATGATAATAAGGTTTCATTTAAATCAAATTAAATAACATGTGGAAAGTGATCTCTTGATTGATTGGAAGATTTAAATTTATATTAGCAAACAATCAGCTTAAACAGCAAATATCACAGCTCTTAGCTCTTTGTTGTACAACATTGCAAGGCCTCATGCACACAGGCATATTTATGAGCACAGTGTGCGTTTGGGGACATGCACCTGCACGGATGTCATACTGGGACCAGCAGCTGTGTCCATGCAACCACTGTGTTCCAATGAGACTAACTGCAAGCAGATGCATGAAACAGCTGTGCATCCCGTGATGGAGAAGATGCATGTATAAGTACAATGAGGCCCAAAACTGTAGCTTCCTTCCTGTGAATCTGCCAAAATGAGTTATGGGTGGTCCTGCTGACACCACCTGTCTCGACAGACTTCGGCTGAAAAATAAAAAGGAGCTGGGCAGAAATGTTAGCAGAATAGTGACTGCAGCCAATCAGCTACAGTCATTACTTATTCAATAGTCAGCAGCAGAGATTTGTCCATCCATGCTGTTTATCGTGGCTGGGGGAAGCTATGGGTTTCTCTCATTCATACAATCTTTAGGTTTATGGCCAGCTTTAGGCTGCTTTCACACTGATCCGTTTTTCTTCTTGCGCTAAAAAAAAAAAAAAAAAAAAAAAAAAAGAAAAAAGAAAAAAGAAAAAAACATGTGACCATGTAATCCAATGGAACACTTCACACTGGTTCACTGCAGGTCTGCAGTGGTGTAAATCCTGCTTGCTGCATTTTTAGTGCAGGTTTAGTGCAGTAAAAGAAAAACTGCATCATAAACGCACCCCCCATGAAAATTAATGGAAAACACGGCAAAACCGCTTTAAAAAAAAGGCACCTGCGTTGCGTTTTTGGTGCGGTTTTTGAGTCAAACGTCCCTTAAAAAAATGCACTGCAAATGTGGTGAATACATGGTAATAACGCATATGTGTTTTTGTTGCATTTCTGCTGCATATCAGTGTGAAAGTAGCCTTAGTTTACACCAAACTGACAATTACCCATTTTGCTGCTGGCATCAGAATCAGCCAGAATGAAGGTGTAAAACACAACTAGAATTCTTCATGTCATCTTATGCCCAGGAGAGCACAACCCATGATCAGTGTGTACAAAGCACAGGCCGAGGGTTGCTATATTCCTTGGCATTCCTTGGAAGCTACTGCACTAAACATCAGCTCCTTGCATTCATTACAGTTCCAGAACAGCTAATAGAGGGAAATTACCCATCAATCAAGCAGAGTCAAATAAAAGATGGAATCCCACAGGAGAGACAATTTAACAAAAGAACAATCAGTAATGTTTAATTATGCATTAAAGCTTTGTATTTACCTGAATTATGAGATCAAATGGCAACTAACTTCAGTGCCATTGTGTGTGTGTGTGTGTGTGTGTGTGTGTATATATATATATATATATACACACACATATACACACACACAATATATATATATATATATATATATATATATATATATATATATATATATATATATATATATACATACATACATATATACACACATACATACATACATACACACACATACATTCAGTTTTTTGTTATTGTAGTATATTTATTTATTTATTGATTAAGGATGCACCGATACAAGTACTTGTGAAAATGCTGACAATACCAGAAACTTTGTGGTGTGATTTGCGTCAATACAAATCACATGCGGTTTCCCCACTGCTCCTGTGGGAACCCATGCTTGTCATAGCCCATGTACACATAGGAGTGATGCGGGTAACCTCCCTGTATGTTTCCCATGCTGAGCGGAGAGTGGGTGTGTGGGGATGTATACTATGGAAGCAGTTGCTCCATATTTTCAGCGGTAAAATAGGAGTGAAAGCGAAGGGGATTTAAAATTCCCGCCTCTTTCTCTCCTCTCCTTGCAGCGATGACAGTTTGAACTAGAGGGCTTTTGATTGGTCAGCACAATATTGTATCTTATTTTAACTTCACCTTTGAATTAAAAATCAATATTGTACCAAGCCTAGTAAATATATTTAATCAGCAATATAAATGCTGTGCCTTTTTCCCCACAAACTAAAGTTTTGGCCTGGTGTGCCTAAACATGCTCCGTGTTGATTGAAGAGCTCTAGATCTGACTCAATAGGAGGGGTATTGGACCTCTGAAGAGAGGCCTCTGCTTGTCCTTGGACAGCATGGGTCCCACTGTGCAGCATGATGGCAGGGTACATGCTTTTCCAGAAGAATGTGGCTGAGTACCCAAAGAATCTGCACACCTTTTGCCTTGATGCACCACAAAATGATTAACAAAGTAAACACGAAAGGAAGGAATGTTGAGTATGTGATGCTGAGGGTCAAAGCAAACTTGTTTTTCCCTGAAGTGAGTTTGGAATCTTCACGGTTTCATTACTGTATTTATAAAGATATTGGTCCCCCCGCGCTCCACTGGTACCGATATAAATAATAGTAAGTGCAAGCTGCTATCACCTGATACCTTATACCAAAGGACATACAATATGTTCAAGTGTTGGTGAAGCGCTACACATACACAACTGACCACAAGAATATTAAGAATCCTATATACGAACGTATCAATCTCAAACAATCAAACCATGAGCTTTCCTGGACTTGAACCACTGGTCAAGGCATGTTTTAGGGCTTTGGGCCACCAACCAATTCTTGTCTATGAAGAGGTGAAACCATAGCCAGATCTAGGGGGGTGCTGGGGTGGGCTGTATCCCCCAGATTGCAACTGCACCCACCAAGGTAACCCCTCATGGATACTGTGCCCATGTAGGGTTGCCAAACCATTGGTCAGGGAAGCAGTCTGTAGGGGTGGCTGGCTACATCTGCCAAGTCTCAGTGTGTCACAGACTTCAGAAAACGAGCTCCCCCCCTCCCCTCTGCATAAACAGGAGAAGAGACAGGACTCGATCTGCTCCAGCTGCTCCCGCCCCTCTCTCCGTCTGCCCCACCCACACATGGCCAGTGCTGTGCCTCAGAAAGGGAATGTGGGCAGGAGATATGAAGTACAACACCTGGAAGCTCCATCCTCTCTGCATGATTGATGATGGTGCCCGATTCTTCTGACCCCAGCCTGGGGTGTATGAACACTGAGCCCTGCACTATGACCGACCTGTCCCCATCTTCCTCCCTTCTCTCCCCCTCCTTGTTCTAGAAGGTTTCACAAACTTGCCAGAGTTGATTTCATGTCCAGAGACACCTGAAGTACTATTGAGGAAGACTACTAGTTGGATAAACTGATAGATTTTTAACTCACATCTTTGTCATGCTTCTGTTTTACCCCTTCCTGCCCAGAATCCCTTTAAGAGCTCCTTCACATCAACTTTGGTCTGTGTTAAGATCACTCTTCAGAGAGCATTTGGCAGGCAGCGAGGAGCAGTTTTATCACCTCCTCACCACCTGCTGTAACCCCTGTAACTCCATATTAGCACACATTCATGGCCACGAAACAAAGAATCACAGTGGCAGCATTTGTACACCCCAACAGTGTGTTGTCAACCATCTATACGTTTACAGATGGTTTGAAACAAAAAAACAAAACCAACCACACACACAACATGCACTTTTCACCTGTCCATAAATGCAGACAGGAGAAAAGAGCCATAAAAACTCCCCCTGTCATCAGCTCTGAACTGCACAGTTATGGAGCCATCCTATTAGAGAATTGCCAGGCTCAGCCTCAGATCAGGCAGCAGGACAGGTCCGGGTGTGGGCAGGTCTGGGTGTGCACATGTACAGTGACATCATGGCACTTATCAAGCATGGCTTATGTTGACACGTTCCACCGCATGAGTTTCAGCCCAACCTGGCAGTTGGGCTAACTTGCTGGCTCTGGAACTGTGCATTTGCAGTTAAGATCCAGCAACAGGGGAATTATTTTTTAAAGCCTTTTCATGCCAGCCACCCACCAGTGGTGAAAGGGCACTCTGCTGGGCCCTGATGTAAGGGGTGGTACTCTACTGTAAGGTGGGACTCTGGGGACTCCGATGTAAGGTTGGGCTTTGAAGACACAGATTTAAGGGGGACTCTGATGTGTAGAGGGAATGCTGTTGACTTTAATATAAGCGAGACCTCTGATGTGAACATGGCTCTCATCCTGACTACCACATTCTAAAAGTTTCTTTTTTTTTTCTTCCTCCAGACCCATGTACTTCATAAATTATACTGTACATAGACCTGATCAAGGTGTTCATTGTCTCAACTGTTGTTGGTTTTAATAAAGTTCTTCTTTAAAGTGTAAGTTCACCTTTATAGAAATTCTGTAAAGATGACTTAACACTGAACCCCTATCCAGGGCTGCTGTTAGAAACCACAGGGCCATATACAGACAACCTGATAGGACCTCCTCCAAAACCCCCCCAAAAACCACAGTTTACTAGGCTTCAGTTATGAATGAACACAATGAGTGATCAGTACAGGAATGATGATTGTGTTCATTCAGGAAAAGGAAGGGGCTGGTAAATGTGACATATTTACCGGACCTTTCCCCCACTCTCCATCCTGAAGGATCCTATTTAGTGACTGCAGTTGCTGGGTGGAAAGGAGAAGAGGGAAGCAGCACTGCAGCAGTGAGGGTACACGGGAAGGGGGGGGGGGTTGGGCAGCAGAGGGAAACATATGGTGCACAGGGAGGGTGATGGGCGTGGCGGGGAGGGAAATGACTGGAACCGATCCCCTGTATGGCTCTCTCTGCAGATGAAAGTCAGCGGGAGGGAGAGGAGAAGAAGCCAGCTTTCAGCTGCTGCAGAGAGCCATACAGGGGATCAGTTCCAGTCATTTCCCTCCCCACCAAGCTTAACACCCTCCCTGCCCACAAATCTGGTTCACCCAGATGCCTTGGCCCCGTACAGGAGGACTGGTGGTACCCCCATATCCACAGCCCTGCCCCTATCCATTCCCCACCCCCACTGTACTTACCTCCCACAATCCTGTGCTGTCAGGCATCTGCAGGCAGCTCCACTAATCAGGGGATTTGAAATCCTCGTGGCTTTCTCTCCTCTCCTTGCAGTGCTGACAGGAAGCGCCATTCATGTGACAATGCTGACCAATTAGCATCTGCCTGGTCCATATTGGCTGCACAGTACAGAGAGGAGATTAAGCCACATGGCATGTGGGAACCTGACAATGCAGGATCATGCCAGGTAAGTACAGCGGGGTTGGTGGGGGTGAAGTGTTATGTCACCTTACAGATTTTTTATAAAAAGGTGAACTTACACTTTAAGGTAGTCTCAGTAAGGCAGCCCATACATCAGTCTTTTTTTTTGTTCAACCAGCGGTTTGAACAAAAAAAAAAAAAAAATTCAGTTCCCACATCCACACATTTGACACCGCCCTGCTAACCAACTGTACTCTGCCCTACTGATTTCTGTTTACTGTCCTGCTGGCCTCCCATCCCCTGCACCCCAAGCTTCTTTACTTCACCCCCACACATCAGACTGACTAGATTCGGCCCTGGGTGAAATATAAAATTTTCTCCCGCATTAGGGCATTAAAGCACCACACATGAATGAAGATTTTCCAGCCGTCTGGCTAATTGTTGCAGAGCTCGTTTTGCTCACTCAACCAGAACAAACTGCTTCAGTCCCATCTTCTTAGCTGGACTGACTCTGATGCTCTCTAGATTAGACTTTCAGTCTTCACACACAGAGGTTAATTTACCGAAACTGGAGAGTGCAAAAACTGGTGTAGCTTTGCATAGAAACTAATCGGCTTCCAGTTTTTTTGTCAAAGATCAACTGAACAAGCCGAAGTTAGAAGCCGATTGGCTACCATGCACAGCCGCACCAGATTTTGCACTCTCAAGTTTTAGTAAATCAACCCCACAGACTACATGTTTCAAAATAGCATCTTTTTGTCACTTTGCTCATCAGGTGCAAAATCAGTAACAATGGCGAAGTGATTAGCACGTCCGCCTGGCAGCACTAGGACTGCCAGTTCGAATCCAAGCCATGACACTACTCGCCTGGAGTTCTCTCTGTGCCTGTGTGGGTTTCCTCTCACACTCCAAAGACATATTAGTAGGTTAATTGGCTCCTGTCCAAAATGGCCCTACTATGTGTATGTATGAATGTGAGTTAGGGACCTTAAAATTGTCGGCACTGTATAAAAGGAACATATAATAAATAATCTTTTTTCCTACCAGTCCTGTACTTTCAGAAAAATGTTTAGATTGTGGGGTATTTTACAAACTCTGAAAGCTGTAAGTGAAATATAGAAAAGAAAAAAAAAAAAATGGTCTGGCCCCCTGAGGTTAAAAGTGGAGGGCAGGGCCTGGCAGCAAAAGGCTTAGGATGTGTTCAATAATCTTGTGCGTTTCCCACACCGCATTCATGCGAACCGCATGGGGGGTGTCAATGCTAAGTTAACGATACCCCACAGTTTGCAAACCGTACTGCGACTGACAGAATTGGATCGCATAGGTGTGAACAACCATGCTATCCGATTCAAGAGCGGGGAAAATAAAAGGGTCTTGTGCCTTTTTTGTCAGATTTGGTGCAATTTGAGCCATACAAATGGATGGCTCAAATCACACCACAAAGACATTGCATGTGATTTGAATAGGAATGTGGTGCGATTCCTGTCCAAACCACACGCACAGTCTCCCACACCACATGTATATGAACCCAGCCTTAAACTGCTGGCCACCAAAAGCATTTTAGTTGCATACCATATTCACTTTGCCCAGGCTTCCGACTTCACAAAGGGATAACAGACCTGCATTCAGTGTAGGGGCGGACTGACCATTCGAGCACTGCCTAAGGGCCTGGGGTTAGTAGGAGGCCCCATGAAATACCCCTGGTACCTTTTTATAGGCTTTTTTGAGTGTGGGAAAGGACACAGGGGCCCCATGATCCCCTATTGCCCGGGGGCCCCATGAGTTGTCAGCCCACCCCTGATTCAGTGTATACATTCCCCACGCACAAAATGATTAAGGAACATTATTGGGATGAGTTTACTCTTACAGCAGAGATTCCTCACCTCTTCCACCTCCAGGTCAATGCACCAGATGACCAGATAATTGGCTGTCTCTTCACACACCAAGTGGGGATTATCAGATAAGTATTTCTGGCTGTCATCCCAGCGATGCAGCATTCCTATTGGACCAAAACAGAGAGTATAAAATTGGGAGAAATACATCACTACCGCCCACAGCAACCTTCACAGCCAAGGTGCTATTTTCATCACCTGCCCCTAGAAACTAGTATGAGGGACACAAACATTATTTTGAACCAAAAAAAGGATTTTACAATATAATCTGATTTAATGAATAAAACATGATTTGAAAAATCCCAAAAGATGTATAATGGAGTTTGGTGTCCCATTCAACCCGTAGGGCACGCTGGCTCAACGTTGACAAACCAGGCATGTACAAAGGCAAACATCTCCCTGTTACTGAACCACTGCCACAAACCCTGAACATAGGGGGGGAGAGGGTATTCCTACTTACCAAAATGTTTTAACAGCTTAACATTCTTTTCCACAAAGGTTTTGTGTTTTTGCTCCTTCTCTTCTTCAGATTGTTCTTTATTTTCTGCTTTTACATTAAACACACTCTAGAGAAAGAGAAAATCAGATGTTTAGAAAGAAATGCAAAACTGGCGGTTTAAAATACATTGTTTTTCGTTCAGCCAGATTTCCCCCGCTGAGGCACTGTATTCTGACAGTGGGACCCGCCACTGTCTAAATCAGCAATGGGCAAACTACGCCCCGCGGGCCGTATACGGCCCGGCGGACCTTTTAATCCAGCCCGCGGAGCGTGATACTGTCAGGATGGCTGTCAGGATGTGTGTAGGTGGGGCAGCGTCACGAACATGAGGGGAGCTAGGCTCCTCTCACAGTCCGCCCTGAAGACCGGAACGGTGCGGGAACACGGCGAGAGGAATGCGCGGAGCAAAGGTAAGTAAATTGAATTACTATAGGGGGGATGAATTACTATAGGGGGGATGAATTACTATAGGGGGGATGAATTACTATGGGGGAATATTACTATACTTACTATGGATGACACATCATTCATCTACTCTTGGTCCGGCCCCCGGGTCCAATATATGAACCCACTGCGGCCCTCAAGTCAAAAAGTTTGCCCACCCCTGGTCTAAATACACTGATCAGCGGCTGCAGCCACTGCAAGACAAAAGTATTCAAGCATTTCCCTTTAACAGAAGTTGATCAAAATATTGACTTCTGCCAAATGGGGGGTGGCCTCACACTGATTGAAATTCAGCCAGTCCCTGCTGAATCGCCATATTTAGTTTCATCTATTGTCTGCTTTAAGGGGCAAGTTTTCCTCTGTATGAAAATTTACAATGCAATAAAAAGGGGCCCCGGTATTTTAAACATTTTTGGCCAGGGGTGGGGGAAGCCACTCTTGAATATCATCCAAGGGGATGATCAAAGGAAGATCCAGAAAAGCTGCACTGAAACACAAGTCTGCATTATTAAACTGAAGACAGAATAAAAAACACCGTAAAGTACACCAGTGGGGAGAAAGGTAACCTTTCTCCCCCACTGGTGTACTCTTCGGTGTTTTTATTGTTTTCAGTTTAATAAAGTAGATGTGTGTTTCAGTGCAACTTTTCTGGATCTTCCTTTGATCATTAGTACAGGTGTGCTTACTGGGCCAGCACACACATTACAGGAGTGTGGTGTTGGATAGTGAGCCTACATAGAGCAGCGCTACTTCTCTCTCTGGCTGCTGGATCACCCAAGGTGAACTTACCCTTTAACGTCCCATTAGCCCTTGGTTCGCATCTACGTGGTTTCTTCGTGGCTGCGTTTGCTTGGGCACAGCAGCCCACTCATTTGTATAGGCTGCTGTACCCAATGAAAATACAGGGAAAAGGTCCCTGCACCTTTTCAAAAAATGCCTCCGCAAGGAAACCGCATAGGGCAGTGCAGCTCCCAGTACGGGAAACCATAGAATTCACAGGACGTATTTCAGGTTTTGAAGAAATTAAGGCCTGGTTTGAAATTATTTCATCTGAATAACTCTAAAAAGCTCTTTACTGTGACCACTTTTGCTACTACAAATGATCACACGGCCAGTTAAAGGTTTTTAATGAAGCGAGTAAGGTACAGGGGTTGATTTTCTCTCGTTCAGCCCAATTCCTACATCCATGATAACAGCGTAAATGGCGGAATCACCACTGCCAGCTATTCTATGAAGGCAGCTGCTGTATACTGACTGCACTTTTCGGCCGATAATTTTCTAACTCTGTTTCGCTGATTTAAAATCAATGTCTGATGAATCATATGGTGCATGCAAGGACACCCAGAACTCGAATTTGAACAGACACAGTAGGAATTGTCCAAAATTTGAGCTTGGTTTCATTATGAGGTTTTAAAGGTTCTTATTAAAAGGGAAATAAAAAAGACAAATTCCTAAGTCCCCAAAAGCCAGTGCACTGGAAGAGGCTGTGTGATTTGTAAAATTTGTCATGTTATTATTATTATTATTATACAGTATTTATAAAGCGCCAATAGTTCGCTCAGCGCTGTACATTACAAAGGGGGACAGAACATGTGACAGAACAATACAATACAATGCAAAACATGAGGGGATTGAGGGCCCTGCTCTTTCGAGCTTACAATCTAGGAGGGAGGGGATAGTGGTACAGGAGGAGAAAGCTGTGGGGGATGGAGTGGTAGGGAGAGTGGAGGAGGTCGGCAAGTTAGCAGGGGGTGGGGTAGGCTTCCCTGCAGAGATGGGTTTTCAGGGTGCGCCTAAAGGAGAGGAGAGTAGGTGGTAATCTGATGGGTTGGGGCAGGGAGTTCCAGAGGATGGGTGACACCCTGGAGAAGTCCTGGAGGCGGGCATGGGAGGAGGAGACCAGGGAACTAGAGAGAAGGAGGTCTTGTGAGGAACGGAGTGTGCGTGCTGGGCGGTACTTGGATATTAGGTCAGTGATGTTATACTATACCTTGCTAAAGCCCTCTTTGCTAAGAGTGTCTACATTCCATGGCATGTTCTTTTCCTTCTTCTTCAGGTCATCTTCCTTCCTCTGCCACTTCTTCTCCTCTTTCTTCAGCTGCTCCACCTCCTGCTGCAGTTTTTTGTGATTCTGTCTTTGCAGATTCTTGGACATCCAGCTGTTTCAGTTTCTTCTGACAATCTAGTATTTTTTTCTTGCATTCATTTGCCCCTTTCTGTAGTTCTTCTTTCTCCTTTTCAAACTGCTCCATCCTCTCGACACGGGCCTAAAAAAATAATGGGAATGTTAGTAAAGAACATGGATAGTTAGTTCAAAACTTTTCAGTCATGATTCATATATGAGGGGCTTTCAAGCCAAACTGGGACTTTTGAGTTTATATAATAAAAAAGGACAAATTTCACAGAGTAGAATTTGCATTTATTTTTTTACATACTCCCCTGCTATATTCATACACTTATCCCAGTGTTTAACTAATGCCTGGAAAGCTTCGGCATAGAAAGATTTGTCAGTACGCCTGAACCATCCTAGGACAGCCGGCTTCACTTCGTCATCATTGTGTTCACTGTTCCCACAGAAAAATGTATCACTTGTGCAATTTTACGACATGGTTATGCGTCGATTATCCGGGATCAGGCGTTCCATGCACCGAATGTTCACAGGAATGACTGCTGTGGGCTGGGAAGCACCATGACTAGGATCATCACTGATGGACGTACCGCCATCTTTGAAACGTTTACACCATTCAAATTTCTTACTTCAGCTGAGCATCTCATCACCATACTGTGCTTGAAATCCTCTGTAGATATTCATGGGCTTTGCCCCTTCATTCACAAGAAACATCATCACCATACACTGTTCCTTGGACGCACTAACATGGTTGTCTGCCATTGGTCTCAGGATTGGCCCGCGACACGTGTACCGCCTATCAGTAATAGGTCACACTGCGTGTACTACCACCACGCCTTTTTAAACCTTTAAAATTAAAAGTCCCGGTTTGACTTGAACACACCTCATACTACAACCCTTCCCTCCCCAGTGGCATATACATGATTTTCCTTCACACCTCCACCACTCTGTTCAGCCACCAATGTAAAGAAAAAACCTGGTACTTTCAGGTATGGAGGAGAATGCGACAATGCTGGTGATTGGCCAAGCACTGTCATATGAAATCAGGAGGACTGGGTAAGCTATGACTTGAGAATTGGAGCCTTCTTGGAGCTATAAAAGGCCAGGGGGGCCTTAGAGTGAACTTTTGTAATTGTACATCGAAGACAATTTTTGCCTCAGTAGTATGGAAAGATTACAATTACAATGTACAACAGGCCCGCTTTAAAATCTGCAAAATACAACTTTTTCTCTCACCTGGTGACGCCATCTGAACAAGCTAGCTGTATCAATGTTGGGATGGGTGTCATCCTCATCGTCGGATACTTCAATGTGATCCCACACACTGTAGTCAACCATTGTGCAAGTAGGTGAGGTAACTGCACAGACAGGAAAACAATAACTAAACAATGGGTAGCAGAAAGTTAAGAACATAAAATAAACACACAAGACCAAAACAGTGGGCTTTGTAATGCAAAAGCTGCCCCCTTCTAAAAGACATTGAGACTTACAAAACTGAAATTGGTCATTACGAACCGGAGTGCAGAACCTTTTTAACCATTTCCATACCGGGCAATTTTCCCCCTTCCTGCCCAGGCCAATTTTCAGGTTTCAGCGCTCTCACACTTTGAATGACAATTGCGCGGTCATACAACACTGTACCCAAACTAACATTTTATCATTTTCTTCACACAACTAGAGCTTTCTTTTGGTGGTATTTAATCACCGCTGGGGTTTTTATTTTTTGCTAAATTAAAAAAAATGACCAAACATTTTGAAAAAAAAAAAACACATTTTTCTTTGTTTCTGTTATAAAAGTTTGCAAATAAATAATTGTTCTTCATAAATTTAGGCCAAAATGTATTCTACTACGTCTTTGGTGAAAATAACCCAAATTAGGATGCATTATTTAGTCTGTAGGAAAGTTATAGAGTTCACAAACTATGGGATATATCTGAATATTGATCAATCCTGAAGTACTGACAGCCAATATAATTTCTTGAGGTCCAAGAATGTCAGAATAGTACAGATATCCCCCAAATGACCCCTTTTTTCAAAGTAGACAGTCCGATGTACTTCATAAGAGGCATGGCGAGTTTTTTGAAGTTGTAATTTTTTTGTCATAATTTTTCGGAAAGAAATAAAAAAAATTATTTTCACTATTTTTTTTTTTTTTTACATACTGTCACCAGTGCAGTACAGTGTCATCATATAACTGGCATGGCGGTGAACAGGGACACTGACTGGTGACAGTGCGAAAAAAAAAAAAAAAATTGATGTTTTTTCATATTTTTTATTAAATTTTCTTCTCTTTAAGATTTTTTTTCATATTTCACTATGACCAAAGTAGTATAATGTTACCATAGTAGGAAGTGATCAGTATTTTTTTTTTTTTTTTTTTACACAATTTTTTTATAGCAAAGAATTACTTTGCTATAAGCAAGCATCTGAATGACATTGATTCATTCAGGGGATTTTTTTGTGCTTAACTGTGATTTGGCCACAGCTAATCACATGACACAGCTGGGCATTGATTGGCCCAGCTTGTGCATGTGATCGCTGTGACCATTTACAGCTAGCCACACTTGGATACAATGGAGGGCATGAAAGGAAGCCATCCATTGTATACAACTGTCATGTGACCTGTGATTGGTCACAGCAGGTCACATGGTACTGGCAACGGGGCCGGTACACAGATCTGTCATTGGCCGTGTCCGAGGTACACGGCTGGTGACACATCAAGCCGTTGCGCGGCTCTGCGGGCAGGCAAACTGCGCATGACTGGATGCCATATGTGTTGGTAAACAACACAGATCTCTCTACTGACAGCGAGGATGTGAAGGCTTTTGCCTTCCTGCAAAGCAGGGAGACAAAACCTGTTACATCCCCTCTTAAAACAGTACAAAAATAGTTAGGCACATTGTTACCCCTTTGATTGCCACAGATGTTAACCCCTCCCTGCCCAGTGTTATTAGTACAGTGTCAGTGCTTTTAATTAGCACCGATCACTGTATTAGTGTCACTGGTCATGTCAGTTAGCCAGTGTCAGAATGCCTGCTGTACTATCACACTCCCGCTATAAGTCGCTGATTGTCGCCATTGCTTGTATTAAAAAAACAAAAAAAAACAAAAAAAACTGCAGTATACTGTATAAACCATCATTTGTCATTTTCACGCAAACCAATTAATATACACTTATTGGGATTTTTTTTTAACAAAGACGTAACAGAGTACATTTTGGCTTACATTTTATAATTTTATGGGATAAGTTTTATAGCATAAAGTAAAAAATATTTTTTTTTTTTTTTTCAAAATTTTCTGCCTTTTTTCATTTATAGCGCAAAAAAAAAAAAATACAGAATCCAGTGGTAGTCAAATACCACCAAAATAAGCTCTATTTATGTAAAAAAAATATATAAAACTCATTTGACTGTGCAATTGTCAGTTAAAGAAGAACAGCACTGTATAGCAAAAACATGGCCTGGTCATAAAGGGGGAGGGGTAAATCTTCCAGAGGGCAAGCGGTTAAAGGAAGCTGAAAAACAACAGCTAATAATAATGGGTCCTCCTGCGCCTATAAGGATCTTACCTAACCCTAAGCTGCTGACACCTAAACCTAAAACCAAGGTGTAGAAAAATAAAAAATAATATGTATAGTGTAGCGCTATTAAATACTAAAATAATTCCATATGCTAATTATTATTATTATTATACAGTATTTATAAAGCGCCAATAGTTCGCTCAGCGCTGTACATTATAATAAGTGATTACCGTATTTTTCGCTCCATAAGACGCACTTTTCCCCCCCCCCCAAAAAGGGGGGAAAATGTCAGTGTGTCTTATGGAGCGAATATGGAGTGGCCAGGCTGGTATTTCCACCGCCGCCGTGTTAGAATACCGGGCCGGCCGCTCAGCTCTGCAGCAGAACCTTACCTGTTCCTCGGTCCATCGCTGTAGTCTTCCCGCGCTGGCTTCTTTAGTGTGGGCTCTCGGCTTGACAGCCAGGTGCCCAGTGCGCATGCACGAGTAGCGCTGCACTTTGTGAATGGTACGGCGTCTTCTAGGACACATGACAGGTCCCAGAAGACAGCGGACCAATCACAAAGCGCAGCGCTTCAATGCTAACAAATTCATATGGGTACAGTGTTGAATGACCGCGCAATTGTCATTCAAATTGTGATAGGACTGAAAGCTGAAAATTGGCCTGGACAGGAAGGGGGTAAAAGTGTCCGGACTGGAAGTGGTTAATAGCGCTACACTATATATATTATATTTTATTAAAAAAAACAACAGCTACTGGCCAGATCACCAGGTGAAAATAAAGGAAAAAAACCTAAAAAAGAAAACTAATGCAGCCACCATATCGAAGAACTGGTTAAGTTACAACATAATCATTTTTAGTTTACTAACACTACCTTTAAATGAAAAGTCATTTTGTGACTTTTCAATAAACGCTACGTTCACCTGTATTTAGGGTGCCCCCTCTTCACATGACAGCGGGAAGGGAATCCTCTCCCCGCACCCGCTATCACATTGTAAAAACAGTGGGTCTGCACACGGCATCATTCATTCACAGGGATCTGTGCCACTGCGGCAAACAGACTTGCAGTTTCAATGAATACCAAGTGCACTCATCAGATTCATTCTTCCTCCAGCCTTGTAGAGGTAAAGGCACAAAGCTGGAGGAAGACTGTGCAGGAGCCTGACATTGCAGCCTGCTGATCATGGATGCAATGCTTTTCAGTATCCTGTAAAAAAAAAAAAAAAAAAAAAATTATAAAAAGGCACATTTATTTTAATCTGCATAATCATGTGCATTTACAGCATTAGTTATTTTTAATGGTAAATTTAACCTTTAACCTCCCTGGCGGTATGATTATTTCAGATTTTTGGTGCTGAAATCGGTACCATTTTTTTGCATGGAAATATGTAGTTTTTTTAATTGTAGGCTGTAATTTTTAGGAATAACTCACTGAAATCTGTCCGAACAAGAGTCTAGTAAACATCCCGGGTATGATAAAATTTGAAACACGAAATCATAAATTATAATTTAATAATCATAAAAAATAATAATATAATAATACATTTAATTCAATAATATAATCAAACCAAAAACACTGAAAATTGAAATAGAGCGCCAAGTTCGTACATCGCTGAGCAAAGTCGCAAAATCGTTTTCAGTGTCTGATGATGAATTTCCCCACGAATCATTATCACTCAATTCTGCAAGTGGTTCTGATTTACTATCGCTGTTCTCTAGCCGGTCTAAAACCGCTTTTGTCCTAAAGGGACACTTTTTGGACGCCATGGAGTTTTCTCAGTTTCCAGGCAGAAAGAACAGACAAAATGCAGGCAGGGCACAGGACAAAGCACTCGGGACAATATGTATGTGAAATGGGTTGAAACAGCAATATTTTGCTATGTAAAATGTTTTGAAAAAAATTAAATTTTTTAAAATTTTCAAATTTCCTGCCGCCGGCGGCGCCCGTACGTCCTGACGTCACAGGGACCGGAACACAGAAGCCGGATGCCCGAGTGTAGCTCGGGGTTACCGCTTTTGGCACTGACATGTTACCCCGAGCTACACTCGGGAATACCTCTAAGGAGGTTAACTCACACTGGGATCAGTTCACTAAGGGTCCTTTCACACGGGAGTTCCGTTTTTTTCATCAGTTCAATCACGTTTTTTCAAAGAAAAAACAGATCAGTTTACATCCATTTACATCTGTTCTGTTTCTTTTTTTTTTTTTTTTTTTTTTAAACGGAAGAAAAATAGGGTTTTCTTCTGTTCAAAAAAACGGATGTTAACGGATATGTCCAATAACGGATGTACATGGATGATCATCCGTTTACATCCGCTAGTCCATAGTATCCGTTTTTCATCTGTAAACGGACAGATGAAAATCGGACATTCAGAACGCCCGTGTGAAAGAGGCCTAAGAGATAAATATAGCATGAATTTTTGAGTTAAAATATCTCATGCGGTATTTCTCTCAAAAGTAGGCAAAAGCGGAACTAAACCCATCAATTTAATGGTTTCAAAATACCGGTACAAATGGGTGGAGCTGATCTCAGGTGCAGCACCATGGCAGTTGCGGATCACACAGAAGCGGATACAGCCATCTCCTTGGCTGAAAAGAATAGGAGGGTTTAGTTTCACTTTAACAAATGCTTTAGATATTTATGTTTTGCGATATTTAGCACTTAAAGTTAGCTTTATTTTTTATGTTTTTTTTTTTACTTTTTTTTTTAAATTCCAACAATGCAAACCAGAGGAAGACTGATCTGTAAATAAATGAACACAGAAATATTGTGGAACTGAAAATGTTTTAGTGTGCTGGTTCACAATAATACGCGGT